AATAAATTTGGAATTTTTTTTTTTCTAAGGTAGTTATAGTTCATTAGAGTCTATATGAGATATATATAGTCTCGACTTAAAAGTAAATTTACATTTGGAAATATTCCGTCATTTGTCATATATCGAGAATTAATCATTTACATTAGATTGGTATGATAGATGCACTTCTGTGTAGTCAGTAATGGTAAAGCACTATTAGCTTTTTTTTTTTGTTTTAGTTGTAATTGATTATATTTACATGACTCTATAGGAAATAATTTTCATAAGAATTTACTATTTTTAGAAGTTACAGGTAACATATATATATATGTATATACTATCCAGAATAGCTTCGAATATATGGAATTTCTCATCTTTAGTTTGATGAATAGGCGTGACAGTTACAAGGCTAAGGTATTAATTAACTGTTAATATGATTGTTCGTATGTTTTTTTGTATTTTTCTTACAATGTTATTACATGAAAAGGATGTCTAGTTAATAAATATCATCAATTCTGAATGACAGAAGATGGTTCTTGTTTTTGGTTATACAAAAGTCTAGAAAAATAAAAGTTGTTTCATACATACAAAAACAAACAATTAAAGATGAGTCTAAACTTATTTGAGTCATTTTCTTACGAGTTAGCTTCTTTTATTAATTTTGTTGATGATATATACTAATCATTGAAACTAATCTATGCATAGTTTTACTGTATTAACATGACCTTTTGGCATTCCAAGAGTACTTCATTTATTGTTAATTATGGTTTATTATCGTTCTAACTTGTTTTCTTATACATTTTCATACTATATAAATAAGTATTGTTTACATATAAACAATCGTTCCTAAAATTATTCGACTAGATTTAATTTTCAATTTTGTTTTACTATTGTAAATGCTAATAAAAATCTAAATTGTAATTTAAATAGAGAATTCTATATCTAAGAAGATTTTTCTATTTGAAGATGAAAATGATTGATAGTTTTCTGAGATGAAGAACCTCTAAAAAACGAAGTTTTTCAGAATCTAATATTTGTAATTACAATTTGAATTGCCGAGAATGATAGAACAAATTATAATCAAGATACATAAGGCATAATAATAGTATTTTCATACGACATAAAAGAAAAAACAAATGACTATTGTGTCTTCCGTAAGATTGATGTATCTTGATCAAAGAACGTCATAGAGAGTTGCAAAGACGTTTCATTTTGTAGACAATTATTTGTTCTATCATTCTCGATAGTCTAAATAGAATTATTATTGTAAATACCAGATGTTGAAAAAACCCTATTCTCGAAAAAATACAATTCTCTAGTCAAATCATGATTTGTATTTTTCTAAGCATCTATAGTAGCGGGAAAAAAAGAAGTCAAAAATAAATCTAGTTGAATAATTTTGAAAATCACTGTTTATCATATGTGGTAAAACTGCTAACACTGAACATACCTATTAGGGTGCTCTGATAATTTTGGGAAGGAACTTATAGAGATTAGAAAATAGCCTATTGATTCATCGTTTAATCTAAGTTTTTTTTTGAATTTTTCTAAAAATTCTTCATAGCTTTTGACTCCTTGAAAGCAAATACTTTCAAGGGAAGTAAAACAAAAATATTTTATCTCAAAATTTTCGAGCCACCTATTATTTTGTAGTTGGACAAATTAGCATTCAAATATTATTCGTAATAGGAAATAAGTTTCCTTGTTTCTTTTTTTTTTGTCATTCTTTAATAATAAATAATCAATCTTACCTTATCTATTCTATTCACTATTTACATAATGAATAAAATATTATCATATATAGTCAAAATTCTGAATACAAGTAAGATTGACATAGAAATAAGCATCAATAATCTTTTCTGTTTTTTTTTTTGTTGACATATGAAAGGAAGAAGTCGAGAGGCAATCGTAATTTTTACATAGGAACAGATATCAGAACTGAATCATTTATCAAATAATTTCTCTCAGCAGATCTCTTTCATAAGTACCCGCAGGAAAATGATATATATCCTCTACTATTCTGATTTCAACTTCTATATTTCTCTTCGTTCTCGTTCCTTTCAAAGCATCAATATGCAAGTAAACTATTTTCTCGAACTCATCTGCAAGATATTAATACTATGTATATCATATAATGGTAGTGAGAGTGATATGTGTGTCTTTCTCTAGTATACACACACACACACATGTTGTATAATATATTACGATAGTCTTTGATAGATGGATCGACATTTTTATGCATATTTTTTTGTGGTACTCCTCAGTTACTAATATGTGTTCGTATGTGTCCGTTTAGCGATGTTTTCCTAATACTCATCGATTAACAAGAAATTCTGTCGCTAAATATTGTCATATGATATTGTTTATGTACGTTCTTATTTAGAGTTACTCCCCCTCCTTTCGTGATCCAAAATTTTTGTTTTCTTATAATTATTGTATAGTCTTTTTTTGTCGATAGAAACAACATGGTGGTGTTCTAAGAAAAATTCTAAAAAGATTTGAGTTCCTATTGAGATTTCACTAAACTATCGAATTTTGATACTTCAGAGAGACTTTGTTTAAAACTTTTGAATTTTGTTTTTATGGAAACTAGTGTAATTGAGTTCTCTATATACATAAAGTTTTAGATGAAAATTCAATAGTTTAGTCAAATCTCAATTTCGCGTTTTTTTTTAAACCAACTTTTTCAAGAAAAAAAAATGCAGAAGAACTTCTTCATTCCTATAGCCTCGTACGTTCGATTGATATGGAACTACTTTCACATATACTATACACTGTTTGGACTAGATAGGTTTTATTTTTGCTTGAAAAAAAATTGTTCTACTGATTTTTGATAAGATACTCACTTTAAACAGTGTCTAGTGTTTGTAAAAAAAAGAATTTTTCAGCTCGATTGAATATAGCATTCGTCAAAATCGATCTGTTCTGAAGTTTTAAAAATTTTCTGATGAATCATTCTCTTCAGAAATTGAAGCAAGCAATACTTTATCGAATTTGATTTAATATCTCAATATTCAATGACACAATATTTTCTTTCAAAATACTATGAATATACCGTATTCGACGATTAGTTCACATAACATTCATTTTAAATAATATGTTCATATTATTTGTTGATGGATACAATAGTAAGAATAAAGTACACAACCTAGAAAATACCGCAAGTACTCATATGATTTATGTAAAATGACTCATAAGTAGAGACGTGCAGGACCAAATTTTTTTGGTTCTTATCTAGAGAAAACTATTCTAGAATTTACTTGTATTACATCTAAAAAAAATTCTTCAATACTTGGTTTTTTTTTCATTTATCCGATCGACACTAATGTTTAACTATAATCTTTAGTTCAGATTGGGACAACTTTTTTCTCATAGTCACAGTCACAATCTCGGTACAACGAGAGGCTACCGGAATTTATTTTTTTAGGATTAATCTATTAATAACATATAATTCTGAAGAGTTTACTTTCTTGCTTATCGAGTCTCACTCTCAACATGAATCCCTCTGTTTCATGATAAGGTGTATGGTGAGAAGCTGCTGTTCATTTTGAAAAAAAATAATAAAAACATGTATCCAGAAGAATAATAGTATGATGTGTGTTGGCATCAGGGTTGGAACCGGTAAGAAAAAGATAAAACGGTCCGGTCCGGCCAGTATTCCGGCCTGTTGTTAATCATTTCTCAACCGGTGAAATTCCGGCAAACCGGTCAAGTTCCGGTCAAGCTTACCGCTTTAAAATGGTTCCAAACATCCGAAAGTACGGTAGAAATTGATAAAGTTATTTCTAGTTGTAAATTGAATTATCTAATATTTAAATAACATGGTTGAAACAATATGATTTAGCTCCTCGTATCATAAGTACAGAAAACTGAAATCGACCTAGGAATAGTTTTTTTTATAAGCATATCTTAGAAAATTTCAATATTCGTACTTGAGAAAATATTATTTGACTTTGTATGAAACTTTTAGAAATGATATGCATAATCTTTATAATCATGAAGCATCATCATTTTTTCAAAAGGATATTAAGATTTTCCTAACTGATTTATATAGTACTGCCTGGTCTATTTCAAAACTGATAAAATATATGCCTAATTGTCTTCGTGTCTATCACAGTATTACAATCATCGCGATAAATATCGATTATAAACTGAACAAAATTTTTAATATTGACACTATCGAAAGACTTTCTGGAGATATATGTATAATGATGAAGAATTTGTTCTACTTCATAGCAAAATACATAGTTCTTCTTACCGAATAAGAGCTAAGTAAGGATAATCTTTTTTAAATTTAAACCGGTAAATTTCCGGTATTTACCGGCCCGGTTCCAACCCTGGTTGGCATAATATGAAATTGCACTCTACTCCGTCACACTACTTATATTAGTATATACGAAGAAATTCAATGTGAATGTTTATTTTCAATAAATTATTTTTCATAGTTTTATGATATTTAAATTATTGCACTCTTGAGAAAGGAAGTTATATAAAAATATAGTTTCTTTATAAGTTTGATAAGGTAAGTTTTCATAAGAGGCAATGTTCTTGTTAATAATTCTGACGATATTCTGATTTGTTTATGTCTATAAATACTTAAATATATTCAGAGCTGATTCAAGACAGCTAACATTTGGATAATATCATCATTTTTCCATGAGAATGTAAACTTATTTTTCTTTCTATTTAATCAAACAGAAGATTGAGGATGCCATACATTTCAATAATTGCGAATATACTCAATCTATTGGAATAAAATGCTAACGAATATGTTTTTATAAAAGAGTGTCAATATAATTATGAATCTACGTCGAGATTTAATAATAAAAACAATCTGAAATTTCATTTGCCAACTCGTAAGATATTTTTTTGTATCGATATTATTCCTGACGACTGGTGACACTGTATACGTATATACTGTTGTATAGAACAAAAATAATTCTTTTCTATTCGCTAATCTACATAAATATATCCTTCATTATTTTGTTTAATCTACTTCTAGAATATTCATATTAATAGAAATGGAACAATTATCATCAGTATCAACAGCTCAGTAAATTAATTTTTATAATTACTATTCTTATTTTTAATTAATTCTTTTTTATAGAACAAATCAAACGAAAAAAACTATTCAAATATGGCCATTTCCAGTTCGTCTTATATGTGAAATATTTATTCTCATTTTATTCTTTATTACTTTAATTATTTTTGTATTAAAATGGCCTGATATTGAAAATAAAATTCATACAGCAATTCTTGCAGTAAATAAATTTAACATAAAAGATAAAACAATATTTTTTTTTTTTGATTGATTATTTAGAAAACACGTTTAGCTCCAATGTCTGAAGCAAATACAAGTTGGATGAATCCACCTGCAACAACTATACGTAATTATCGTTTATTTAATATAACAAATTATATGGATATAATGACAGATATGAATAATCCATTAATGGAATTTCAAGAGACAGAACCATTTCCATATAAGTAAGTCAGTATTTTGAATAAGTTCATTAACAGAAAAAAAAGAAATAAGCGCGTGTTACATTACTAAATCTAATCTTCGATTTAATTACTTTCGAAGGTGATTGATATCTCATTAGATAGACTCTATTGTAGAGCTCAATAGATTCTAGTCGTCTCAGAAGTATGTAGGATAAAAAGTATGTCGTATATTCGAATCGTGACTAAAAAAAACTTGGTCATGCTGGGCCCGTAGTCTTGGTACGAAATTTTTGGACTCTATCCTACCGAGTCTACTAACGAAAATCTAAAAAGAATTCATGCTCATGATTCGTTTTCAGTTATAATCAAGTTAGTGAGTGTGTCAACAGAATACAATGGGAACCAGATCCTACAAGAGTAAGAAAGTGTACACTTTTCTAATAATTGAGTACTACTAACCAACAAGACGAAAGAAAAATTTTTAGGTTTTTGCTCTTCGAACTATGGAAGGTTTATATTTGATTTTTGCCTATGAAAATGTTCTAAATTCATCGAGATGAATTGTATTATATTTTCTCTAGTTTCAACAGGATCTATTGAAAGAAGTTAAACTGATTTTAAAAGGGATTTTTCGCTCCCAATATGATGAGCTCTTACTGAAAAATTCCAAATTTGTTTCTTTTAGAGTTGTTGTTAAAAAGAATAATGTACAATGGTTAAATAATAATACTCAAATTCATTATTCTGTTGAACGTTTATTTACACGACATGGTGAATATAAACAAATATTAATTGATCAAGAAGGTGCTTTTATTGATATACTTCGTGTTGTAAGTTTCATAAGAAACTTTATACTGAATTATTTTCAAAAAAAAAAATTAATTTTTTTTTATAGATGTTTCGAACAAAATTTAGTCGTGTTGCTGATCCTGTTTTTTATATCCTTGGTGGAAATAATGCATTTAATTATTCAAAAGCTATTGATAAATTAGAAGGTTATATATCACCATTATTTGCAGCTATTTCATCACGAATGCAAGGACCAAATAGAGATAAATATGGATTTATTTATCGAGTAAGATAAATACAATAATATTTACAGTACCCATCATAAGTGGACACGATTGAGAAAATGAGAAAGACAAAGGAATTATTTTATTATATCGTATTTACAAAATCTATATCATATGTACATCATTCTAATAATTAATATAATCGCCTTTTCTTTCAATTAATAATTGTACTCTTTTTTTTT